TCAACTTCTCGCGCCATCACTAAGTCCACTCGTGCTAGTGGCCCGCTTAATTAGGCATCATTAATCGTTCCGTTACTTTCACTTCGTAATCTTATTGTTAAACCCGCTTGAATTGTAAATTATTACCAGTGTTAAATAAACGTTTAAGTTTCGTTATCGCATTTCGCATCCAGAAAATTATCTAGCCGTTCCTCCGCGAATCGAACTAACAAAACCAACTTAACATTTATTGGTCCTTTGCGTCGGATCGTGGAGCGGAACGTAACAAACACACTAACACAATCCATTGATGTTGTATGTACAAATATGTAATGTCTTGAAAAAGTGTCTAAATTGTAATGTCTATTATATGAAAAAAGCACTTTATCTACCACCGTAAGGACTTACGAGAGGAAGAATAGTAGGGGATCATTTGATCTGATCTGTCAATACCTAACATATTGTAATTATAATCTACAATAGTAGAAGTCTTCTTTACGACTATTCTTTTTTACACTTAACTTTGAATGATGCATTGCGTTTAGTTGATATTGTCAAAACTTTTCGTTTATCTCTCCATTTCTGTACTAATAGATTATTATTCCTAGCAAAAATAGATTCTCCTTTTTTTAGATTTTTGTCAATTACAAATTTTGGATTACCTCGGCGATTTTTCCGAAGCGTTCCAACAACGTGTGTCTGGTCTTCATAAAGTGAAGCGGCTAATTGCACACTACTGTAGTAATTATCCATGTAAACTGTGTGCCCTTTTCTCAAATAACTTTTGTAGCAACTTATATACAACACTGTAAGCGTGACCATTTTCATTATTAGTCGTATCTTTTCCGCAATATATAAAAAATTTTAAACGGAACCATCAGGAGTGCACAATTCATAGATCTTTACTCCAAATTTAGATTTCATCAATGGAATATATTGCCTAAATAGCAAACGGCCTCGTCATAGCAGTAAACTTTCATCTAAAGATAATAAACATTTTGAATATTTGTGACGACATGATTTAACACCTGATCTATTTTATGGAGGCGATAGGTTTTATCAGAAGTTCCATCATGAAATCTTAGGCAACGAAGTATATTTTCGAAACGATTTCTGCACATACTTTGTCCAAATATAGGATAATAATATAGTATATCTTTATTTTAATACGTCTTAACATTAGGTATATGAATATTCCCCATTATAATGCATAATGCTAAAAACTTTTTCATTTCGTCGATTGTAACATTTTTCCACTTTTTTAAATTGGATTATTTGAAATATCTGTCTTTTCTAATAATATTATAGCGCGGGCGTTTACCCATTCCACAATTTTTTAAAATAAATCATTCTCAAATAATAATGAAAAAGCATCTAAAGGTGTGCTATTTGGCAATAAATTCACTTTTAAACCTTCTTGAGCGATAAAGTCATGTAATGCAGGATCTGCATCTACTTCTGTCCACTGCGAACTAATTTGAGAAACATTGATACTTCCTCTAGTATTATTAGAATTATCTTCACAATCTTCATTTTTACTACAGTTTGATAAGCTGCTCACATCCTTATAGACCGTAAAGGAATAGTTATTTGAATTATTTGATTGATTTGTGATGTCGGTTATATCTTCGTCACTCGTATATACAACACGCCTTTTCTTTATTGGGGGTTTCTTAGAAAGATTTGACATCTTGTAAACGCAAAAAAATATATCCTACGAAAACATATACATTTCACAATATGTTATTAACCTCATATTTATCTACTTACGCTAAATTAATTAAATTTAAGTACTTAAAAAAATATACAGATATTGCACTTTGCCTTAATACTTGTCATAACAAACTGATAAATTCACCTGCTTGTTACCGACAAAAAAAAAATTATCTCCAGACCAAGGTCAGTCGGCATCTATTTTGTTGTTTTATAGGCCGTTACAACAGTTTCGGCTAAAAATAAGTGCAAGGTATTGTTATAAAATAAAAAAGTAAACACGTAGCATATTTGCAGCGCTGGTAGCGAACGTATTTAACTCGGGCAATGAGAGTGTGGCAATGAAATTTGGTTATATTTCGGTGAAAATATAATTACAACCGGAGCACGTGGTTTTTATATCCAAGTTATGTTTAATCGCATTAGCTATCTCTTCACATTTTAATACGAGATCCGTTAAAAATTCGCCAACATCATGTTGCCTTTGCTCTGCATAAGTTACTCTGACATATTGACGTAGAGAGAATGAATTCATTATTTTATTGCCTTCCATATCGTATCAGAGCATTGTTTTCAAAACCTTGCAGTTTTTTCCATTCAAAATATTTCTTTTAATTGCTTCGCAGTGAAACAGACATTGAATAGTGGAATTTGCATAACACGCTGAATCAGTATTTTGTAATCCAGCAATATTACAGGACATTTTGTTTATTTGCTCCTGGCATTCAGTAACATCTTTTGAAATTGCCCATATTTGATCACACATTTTTTTTCCACGTTGACTAAATACAGATACATCTGAAAGATCCATGTGATCTTTTCTTCGTAACCTGTTGTATTCGAGAATGGCTCTTTCGTCTGCTTTGACGTTATGCGGATCGAAATTGATCAAATGTGAACCCTCTAATGAGATAACGCGGGATAGTGCGACCTAAGTTTGCCCATCACTAAATATGCTATTTCCAGTATGTATAACTGCGTTCCTCAAACTTAAGCCTTGACTTTTATGAATTATAATCCCACAACTAACAAGGAAACCTTACGGACCCGAAATCTCCAATTTAAAAAATCTTTTGATATATTGTAGATCATGAAAAAATATCAGACGCGTATTTCTTTATATCTGCGGAAAACATATTTAGAGGGGAGAAAATCACCCCAAATGATAACCCTCAAAAATGCTTTTTTTTTTTTATATATATCTCGGCTTCTAATTGGAATTTTAAAATAAAAAAAAAACTGGGAATTACTCCTTACAAAACAGGAAAGGTAATAGAAGCGGTAACAAACGTCGCCCAATTGTTGCTCAAATTTTGGATCCTTGTATCGTGAAGTACTCCGTGATGCGCCCTGGACGAAGGTTGCGGGTCGAGAGAGCGAGCGCTGGCCCTCCAATCTCACTGAAGTTGTCGCACCAGAGAGACTACGTGGACAACCCGGCAAAGGCCTCACAGATCGGTTACAAGCAATTGGGCGAATATTCAAAATGAAACTACTGCTACCAGATTTTATGCAATGAAATAGTTAACTAAAGTTGACGTGTTTTAGGATTTTTAAAAACCATCCTTAGCTCGAATAACTACCCCTAAAATGTAGGGACCCTATAATCACCATGTAAATTATATTAATTTCGTTACAACATTTTGGAAATATTAAAAAGGTAATATTCTATATTATAAGTTTGAAACACCATTTTTTTTACAAAATAATTATTATTTCTTAAAGGCACCTCTTCCTTAAAGATATGTTTCTTGTAACGTATCTGTGTTTCTGTCTTGAGTTTCAGAATCAAACAAAATGGAAATTACTTCTTGCAAAAGCAAAGAAGATAATAGAAGCACTTTTGATCCGAGGGGTTGCAACCCTTATTTTTTTCAACGAAAAACTACATCTTTAGAAGTAATTTGAATATAATCGTTGTGAATCACAATGGAATTTTTGAATATTGATTACTTTAGAAATTCTTGAATAGGATATTTTTTGGAAGTAGTATGTAATAACAATATGTAAAGTAAAACATAAGCAAATAATATTTTTGATTTAATTACATATTATAAAACGATTTTTACATTTTCAACGAATCCAAACAATAAAAATTGTTATTCAGTTTATTATACATCATTTTTTAATTCTTAGAATAATAATTTTTTTAGTAAGCGTGTACTACAAGTAAAAACTTCATTTTACAAAGTTATTGCAATAATGGTAATCTTCAAAAAAGGGTTTAAAACATAACGATTTTATACACCAACCGCAACGCATAATAGCTTTGTTTTTACATTCTTCTATTTTGTTACATGTTTATCTAACCTTTTGCCAAGGTTCATTAAATTCTATTCGTTAATTCTGTTTCCTGGGGAACATCCTTAAGTCAATTTTAATGACTTATTTTCTATTTTAAGCGTAAATATTATGTATGAAAAGTTTTGTATTTAATTTAACTATTAATACCTATGAATTCAATTAAAAAGATTTTCTTTAAATAAGTAAATAATAAAATTTATTAAAAAATTGTAATCATTAGTATATTTTAATACGTTTTTACAAGTAAATTTGCAATATCCCGACTTAAATTTGTCTGTCTATTACATATCGACCCTTAATTCTCGTTCCCTCTCTAAAATAACAGATAGCATGCGTGCGCCAAACTTCGACGTTATTTTTCTCATTGAAAGTCAACCAGCTCAAAAATTAGTTTGATTAACATTTATCACATTCGGACGTAAGCGCGTGTCATCTTGCGCTATCCCTTATCGCTTCAACTGCCGAAATGCTATGTTCTCGAACTGCACGCGCTGTGTACTTTGAGATTGATAAAATAGATACGATTTGACATCTTGTAAACGCAAAAAAATATATCCTACGAAAACATATACATTTCACAATATGTTATTAACCTCATATTTATCTACTTACGCTAANTATTACGAAAACTAACAATAATAATTAGCCGGAACGTCACAAAATGTTCATATCTCTGGTGTACTTTGACGTTTTTCATTCTTACTAATTATAATTAATTGTAACATTTAATTATTATGTTAGGAATAAACTTTTTCATTAATATATTGTTATTTCTGTAGGTTTCAAAATGAGGATTAATGTTAAAAATGTTATAAATTTATTAATGGCTTATTTTCAAAGTTTACAAATACCAGAATGTGCAGTAAACGATGCTGAAATTCAACTACCAGAAAAAATAAAAAGTATTTTAATCGATACAACGAATGAGTTTAATGATGTTGAAATGATTTTTGATGCCACAAGATGCCAAAACGTTGAAGATGAAGTATAACATCTTTTTCCAGGTCCTGATAAAGCACCAACGAATCAGTGTACACAAGAAGATGAAAATATTAATTTTGAATATAAACAAAGAGCCGTAGAGCTGTAGTAACATGAGAAGTAGTAAAAGGAAGAAAAACTTGAGTCTCGAGAGTGTACAAAACAAATTTAGAAAAGTCTCATGAATAAGTGAACTACATCGTTGGACTCGTACAGTCAATAAAGGTAGAACCTATAAAGAAAAAGTAGCTCGAATATGTCAACATACGTTAGATAATTTTAACTCTTTCATTACGGGTGCCGCCTATAGGCGGCGGCCGCGCGACGACCTATGTGTACGAGCAAAGTGCACACTTCGCGGCGCGGTGACCCGTTCAGTGGCGTCACTCCAGCGGAGCGGACTGCCGTAAGGAAAGGGTTAAAGTTGCAAAGGATGCTGATCTTATAATTCATGATCGTGATATGCGCCGATAGGCTTTACAAGCTAAGGGAGAAATAGACTTTGACGATATTAAATTTAAGGCAAGTGGAACTTGTCTTTTAAAATTTAAAAAAGCTCACAGAATTGTGTCAAGAAAAATAAATAAGTTTATTGGGAGAAAATCATTGGGAAATCGTTTAGAACTTGAACAAAAAGCAAACACCTTTCTTGCTGACGTTAAAATATCTGCAGCAGCAGTTGGCTTTCACAGCGTCTATAACTCTAGCCAAAGTGGATTTTAATTAGAAATGCACTCTGGGAGAACACTAGCCATTGAAAGGGAAACCCAGGGGCAATGCTTGGTGCTATCAGTTTCGTCGACTACACATAGTTATACGATACAACCATTAATATCAGATTGTGGGCAACAATTGTCGCCACTTTTTTTGGTTTTGAAAGAACCAAGTGGAAAATTTGGTCCTATTGTTATAACTAAATTATTCCAAACTGAAAACGTTCACGTGGAACCTTCTAAATGAGGAAAATTGACTAGAAGTAAATATATCTCTGTTTATATCTATTTATTTACTGCAAATATGTAAAAATTATCTTTTGTTCTAGATCTCTTTAAAATTTGGTTGGAACAAATATTTTATCCAAATTTAGGACCTGATACTGTACTATTAATTAATTCCTGGAGTGAACATTGTGATTGAGTTATAGAGGAAACAATGCCAAGCAATAAAATTGTTAATGTACAAAAAATACCAACAGGAACAACAGGAAAAATTCAACCACTTGATGTATATGGGTTTCGAGTATGAAAAAATTACGTCCGACATTTTTCAGATAATGTTATTTTAATGAATTATGATTTAAATTTATATGAAAGAAATGACATTAAATTGCAATCATTAGTTCACAACCAATTATCTTCACCGAGATATTCTAATCTTTTTAAATATTCCTGATACAAAAGTGGTTATCTTCATAAAAAAAAAACAGATAATTTTGATAATGCTGTCCATTACAGCTTCGGTGATTCATGTGGGATACAATGCGAAATAGAAGAATGTAAAAACACAGCTAATATGCGTTGCGGTTGGTACAAAAAATCGTTATGTTTTAAACACTTTTTTGAAGATTACCATTATTGCAAAAACTTTGTAAAATGAAGTTTTTGTTTGTAGTACATGTTTACTAAAAAATTATTATTCAGGTGAGGCGCCAATGCGCGGTTCACGCGCCAGGACGAACGACCGTTAGTGTCGTCGCGCGCGCCATCTGCTTCCCGTACCGATGCGCGCGCCACTTGCCTCCC